GTATGTTCACAACACAGACTATAATTATTATTTGTTAAATAAGTTTTATCTTGGTGATTGAATGAAATATTTTAACATTGCATGAAATAGTTCTGTCTGGGGAATGTTGACATGGAAAAATTCAAGACTACAGTATTTCACTCAGTGACTCACACTCACTGGCTAAGGCCCTGTTTATATGAGCCCTAGCTGCATGAAGGTCTGGCCCTCCTACGCGAGATCCTATATGCTATTATAAATCTCTATCAGAAATTGTTTTTGTTTATATCAGGCCAGCCCTCCTAGGTGAGATCTCGCTATTGTCTACTGAAGATCTTGTCTAGTATGGCTGAAAATTTCCCATATAAGCAACAGTGAGAGCTAGCCTTTCGTAGGGCTGGAAATTTGGCAACTATGCATGCGCAAAGCCGCAAAGAGTCCATTTCAGTAACAATTTCCAGGCCAGCTCTGTAGGGCTCATGTAAACACCACCTATTTATAAGAGGGCCCACGTCCATATTATGTTACCACAAATAACATTAAATCGGCATTATGAGTGAGTGGGTTTTTATGTGAACTTATCGACGTTATCTCGTGACAATTTGACAATTAATGTCCAAAGTATAACTATCACAGTACAGATTTTGTATCATAAATACAAAAGTCAAAATATGGCTTTTGTATCATAAATACAAAAGTCAAAATACGGCTGAATATCTATCAACGTTATCTGGAGTGGGTGGGTGGGTGAAGTAATAACGTCGGTTCTGCGTTATTTGTGGCAATATGAATATGGACGTGGCCCTTAACTGTTGCATGTGAAAATTTACTGACAGCAAACTAAGCAAAGTCATGATAGTCATAGACACTTATTCTTGTCATGATTGCTTACTGTAACTTCCTATCAATTTGTAGTTAACATTTTCGAAACATTGTATATCCTCTATGTATTCTTAAAGCGTATTTCAATATTAAATATCCAGTTAAACTTATGTGTATACTGTGTGTTGAATGTTGACTGTTGATGACCAACAGTTCAAATAGTAAGGTTGAAATTCTAAATACAAAATGTATTATCGTACCTTCAATTCTACCGTGGATTACCGTACCACCGCTACGTACACAATATCCCATTTCATTACCGGTATTTCAAAGTCTTGAAACTGGCGATATTATTTAAAATAAATGCTCGATATGAAGAAGACAAAGAACACGAAGATTTCTTCCACGTGGAACGACGTATAGTGAACACCGGGGATTCCACGAGAAAATCCCCAAGAACCCCGTATAACCCCGGGGAAAAATCCCTTCAGAACATGATTGTTCAGCCATGTCGAAGCAATGAAAAACAGGTTTGTTGTCATGATTTTTATACATTGTTGAAGCAACGTTCTTCATCGTTGTTGACCATATAAAACATGATTGTTATCATGCTTGGTTTGCACTGTTGCAACAACATTGTTCGTTCCTGTTGAATCGTCAGTCTTGAACAGCGTTGTCCCAACAGCACTGAACAGTATTGTTAACAACGTTGTTCAGTGTGGGCAGCAAAACACTGTTCAAGCCTGTTCGCAACAGCATTGTTCGTTGCTGTTATCAATCGTGAATAAGTTGGGCGTTTTTACGCGTGTAGTGTACTTAGGTGAATATGATATTTGTGGTGTTTCTCTGAGTGTATATCCACACCGCAGGGCCCGCGGAGCGTATTAGAGAGTGGGGGGGAGGGGGGGGGCTAAAGGGTGAGGTTTAATTAATTTAGAAAGTTTCATTTAGATTTCTATTTTAATAATTTTGGCTGTCAAAAAAAGTGGGGGGGGGGCTAAAGCCCCCCAGCCCCCCCGTCTCCGCGGTCCCTGCACCGGGCGAGCTTGAAAAATATGCCCGGCCACGGTGGGATTCGAACCTACGACCTTTGGAATACTAGTCCAATGCTCTTCCAACTGAGCTACGCGGTCAGGACGGTTCGAGTAAGTGATATTTCGGAACAGAATCTAGTTCCTTCGATACCATTGTATTCTAGTAATATGATTTTTTTTCTGTGTTGGTGTAGTGTACTCAGGTGAATATGATATTTGTGGTGTTACTCTGAGTGTATATCCACACCGGGCGAGCTTGAAAAATATGCCCGGCCACGGTGGGATTCGAACCTACGACCTTTGGAACACTTGCCCAATGCTCTTCCAACTGAGCTACGCGGTCAGGACGGTTCGAGTAAGTGATATTTCGGAACAGAATCTAGTTCCTTCGATACCAATGTATTCTAGTAATATGAATTTTTTTCTGTGTTGGTGTAGTGTACTCAGGTGAATATGATATTTGTGGTGTTACTCTGAGTGTATATCCACACCGGGCGAGCTTGAAAAATATGCCCGGCCACGGTGGGATTCGAACCTACGACCTTTGGAATACTAGCCCAATGCTCTTCCAACTGAGCTACGCGGTCAGGACGGTTCGAGTAAGTGATATTTCGGAACAGAATCTAGTTCCTTCGATACCAATGTATTCTAGTGATATGAATTTTTTCTGTGTTGGTGTAGATCAGGTGAATATGATATTTGTGGTGTTACTCTGAGTGTATATCCACACCGGGCGAGCTTGAAAAATATGCCCGGCCACGGTGGGATTCGAACCTACGACCTTTGGAATACTAGCCCAATGCTCTTTCAATCATATTCACCTGAGTACACTACACCAACACAGAAAAAATTCATATCACTAGAATACATTAGTATCGAAGGAACTAGATTCTGTTCCGAAATATCACTCACTCGAACCGTCCTGACCGCGTAGCTCAGTTGGAAGAGCATTGGGCTAGTATTCCAAAGGTCGTAGGTTCGAATCCCACCGTGGCCGGGCATATTTTCAAGCTCGCCCGGTGTGGATATGCACTCAGAGTAACATCGCAAACATAATATTCACCTGAGTACAGAACACCAACATAGAGCACAGAAAAAATTCATATTATAAGAACATATTGGTATTGAAGGAACTAGATACTGTTCCGAAATATCACTTACTCGAACCGTCCTGACCGCGTAGCTCAGTTGGAAGAGCATTGGGCTAGTATTCCAAAGGTCGTAGGTTCGAATCCCACCGTGGCCGGGCATATTTTTCAAGCTCGCCCGGTGTGGATATGCACTCAGAGTAACATCACAAACATGTTTAAGAAGCTGTTTTAATTTCCCAAGAGCAGAAATCTCGCAAATTACAAGGAGATGTTTTGAACTAAATTGTAATACATGCACCTTGTCAATATTTTACGCATCATTACGTTCAACTGTTTGGTAGGGCATTCAAATTTAACAATAAGTGATTTCAATAGTTTTCGGATTTTTTGGGACACCCTGTATAGCGACGAACAAAAATCAACTTCAACAACATTCATACAACAATTGTATTTCGTGAAGAAAACTCTATAGTGTAAATGAGTTTAAAATTGAAAGAACCCACTTAAACGGTTTCAGCAGCATAACCTGTTGCCTGTTGTGTATTTTTCTTCTCTTTTATGTTCTTTATTTGAACACAAACTTGAAAATCGTAGTTTCTAATTATCTGAGTTGTTCCTCTATTTTGTTTATTTATGTACGTGGCCGGTCGGGGCGGGCAACAATTTTTCACTTGTTGGCCGGCGAGAAACATTGCATTTATCTGAAGTCACGTGACCACAAATCAGCCAATCACGTTTGGTGTTAACGCTAGCTATATGACAATTGTCCTTAGTGTAGTCACTCTAGTGATTAGAAACGTAAAGGATGAGTTAAACATGTCCACAACACCAGATTAGATCAATGGTGGCCTTGGTGGGGCCATCCCATATGACCTCTATTGGCTTCACTTATGCATAGCAGATGCTTTATCCAGTCTTAATTATCCAGTCTTATTTCAGATCAGTGGATACTCTGCGCTTTACTGCAGATGTTAGATCAACACTAAGTCGTAATGTGCTGACTATTCTGCATGGTGATCTCATCATATTTATCTAATTCAATTATATTCTAAAACTCTCATTAACTGTTTGGTATAATTCTTAATAGCCCATGTCTTTGGTGGGTGATGTCATCTCATATTAATTTGGTTTGACAAAAGCCCTTTGTACTGTAAATACATGAAGTATGCGAAGCACAAAACCACAGTGTACACTAAGTTATACTCACTGCAGGCTCGGTAATAACTGATGTGGCATTCATGGTATTTTGTCAGGGCATTCATGACATTTCTTCAGGTATTACAGGTAAACTACGTCAAGCGTTCCTCTTTTGAGTTTCTAAATTGATTACAATTTTCTTCACTACCTTTGCAATTTAAAAAACTAACTGGCAAATTCCTTTAGGGAATTTGCAATGTTGCTAAAAAGCAATTAAATATTCGTCAGTTCCTGTTGGAAGTTCTTAACTTCTTGTTACAATTTCCTAACTTCCTGTTCTGTTCTGTTCTGTTCTGTTCTGTTCTGTTCTGTTCTGCCCGTAGCTATTGGATAACAAAAATAATCCACCAATAACAACGCTCAGAATAGAACAGGAAGTTAGAAAATTAAAACAGGAAGTTAGGAAAATTTAAAATGAATTTTTTTTGCTTCGGGATATTGCTACAGCCGATAGGAACATTGCAAATTCCCTGAAGGGATTTGCAAAGTGTTTTTCAAATTTGCAAAGCTAATGAAGAAAATTCCAAAAGAGTTAGAAAGTCAAAAGAGTAACGCTTCACGTAGTTGACCTGTAAGGGTTAGGTTGTTAAAGAACTAATTCTCTATAAAATATTGAACATTTATATTAATTGAAGTAAAAGTCGACGTTTCTTGCGTCAATACATACACTTGCAATTTATGCTGCGATTTTCTTCCTCTTCCGATGCATGTAAACGTGTGGATAAGTTGTGAATCTTCAGACGAGATTACATACACGTAGAACATGTGTAGCTTATCACATCTAAGATTCTTAAGATTCGTTGCAAAGAATACTTAAGAATACTTAAGATTCGTTGCAACATTTTCACGTCACCAATATGCATACAATGAGAGCCTAAGGCAATTATTCTAACTTCTTGTATAACCTGAGAAGACCATGTGAAGATTACTTTCTCTTCTACTAACGCCCTACACAAGTGTAAATAGGCCTTAAGAATGAACGCTTCCCGATAAAAATATCACCTATACTCACTTTCATGTTGGTTAATTAAGGACAATTTGACAAGTTCTTATTCGTTTATTGCCAAGTACTAATTAGTTCATTTGACAAGTTCCAATTTTTTCATTTGACAAGTCCTAATCTGATCAGGCAACCACGTTTAATTAACGTGACGTAAATTGTAACCATCATATAACGTGAGTATATAGGCAATATATTTACCTCCATTTGTTTATGTTAAATACCAACAACAATTATTTAGTTCGTAAACACAGTGGAAACAGCTTGACATTATTCTAACCTGGGATGAACCAGATTTTAAACAACCATACGCACAACCTCGTTCCCAGGTTCTTCCTGGGAACGAGGTTGCCATATACACATATTAACCTAAAGAGCAACAGTGTGTGAAAACCGATAATAATTTTAGACATTATACTGAACAGTAAATTCTTCTACAATTCATTCTAATATGTAAATTTAGAAACTTCTTTCATAACTTGCTCCACTATGACTATTACTGGTAGACTAAGTACTAGTTACATACTTGAATATACATACTTGAATATATAGTTTGAGACTTTGAGTTGAATTATTGTACAGTTATATTATTAGTCCAAGTATAGTTTATTAAAGTCCAGCACTAGTTAATATTTACTAGTGGCTACGTACTATTTCAGTTAGCATCACAAAGCCGAATGTAAACAAGAAAAATACATGGCCCATTATGCAATCTAGACCTTAGTAAGGATAACATATTTACATATACACATGCACCCTTTAGGAGTGGATCGCCCTGGAGGGAGGAGGTGGGGGAGATCTCTGAAAAAATCTATGTATAATGTCTGAAAATTGAAAGTCATGCAAACATTAATGGACAGGAAAAACTGATTCTTGCAACTACATGGAATATTCTGAAATATATAGAATAAGTTCCCGCACAGATTCTAAACGTAAAACAAAGTTCGACAAAACTCCGAACTTTGAAAAAATTCCCTCCTCCCAGAATACATAAGGTCCACTCCTAATATTTGAACACGCTAGCCTCTCACAACTATATAATTTGATTTTCAATTAAAGAGAGTTGCAACTGTTAAATAATCGAAATGTCAGGCCGTATGATGTTTCTATTTCTGACCCTGAGAATTGTACTTGAGATTACGACGTGCTTCGTCCCACTAGACTGTAAAAAGCCTTTCGATACATCCTTAAACGCCAAGCATAAATTATGGGATTCATAAAGAAATTCACATAAAGAAGTGCACGCGTGTATACAAATGCTTTATCATATATTTCTAAGTTGACTTTATATGCTACAGTTTTATCAAAAGTGTTATTAATTACAAACATCTGAAAGCAGACAAAGTAGGGCACACACGTCACGTGATTGTCACAATCAACACGGAGAGGAGAATGGTGACGACCATGGTAACTTTTCTGTGAGCACTATTTTTATTGGGAGGTGTTGGAAGACAGGGGGAGCCCTGGGACGGGTTATGGTTGACAACCATACGGTGTTTTTCTCTGCGTTGTAACATCCATACAATATAAATATGGGTTGCAATGAGGAACAGAGCGCTGATTTCCACGATTAAACATATGACGAACTGCACGTAGAATCGTTTGTAGTGAATGGCCACTCCACAGCCGATTGAGAGGAGCCAGACAGCGAGAATACAGAGCAGTGAACGAGGGATCGTTAATAATGTTGACCACTTCATTGGTAACGTGACAATAACCAATCTTTCCGCTGCCATGAGGATTATAGTGAGTAAGGACGCGCAAAATGCAATCCACCTTAATGGCTGTTCTATAAGCAACCGAGCGTCACTCTTATACTCGATCCCTTTGATAGGTTGGCATAGTATGATGAGAAATAAACCATTCAGATAATCTGCAAAAGCGAGGTTGGCAACAAGAAACGAAATTCTTGTGACAAATATCTTCTCTCTTTTTTTGTACATTGAAGCTAAAAGAACGCCATTAAGAACGATCGCCAAGATGCCAAATATGTACAATAAAACTTCATTGCCTTGTACACCAGTGGACGGCATGCTTGCTATTTCTAAAATAATAATGATAAAATGAATACATGTGAGGATCTCTTCAATATATATATAGGAGACTTGTGAAACTGGAACATGCATGTAAAGATGAAACCAAAACGGAAATAGAACCTAAAAAATGGGTACGTTTTCGTACGGAAAATGCATTACTCTGTCCCGATACAGTTGTCCGAACAATTATAAATATAAAAAACCCTATCTATGGTGCTTGTTTCTGAAAGCAATAACTGGGGAGCTCAAGGTGCGTTTAATGTAGCACGCGTGCGTGACGAAGAAACAGTTATCCCTGTGTTTTACGTTTGGATTTGTTGCCAGTGTAAATATGTTTTAATTATAAAAGTTCGTAGATAATTTTCTAGATTTATTTCTATACATAAAGTAATTAATTTTATTTTTGATTCAAACAATATTTGCATAATAGCTAACTTAATCATGTATATGATACTCGGCAATTATTGACAGTGTTTCA